GAATTGAACTTAAAAGGATTGAATTCATAATTTTCTCCAAACCATGTAATTTCATTCATTTTGAACAAACATGACACAAGAAAATGTAGCTTTCGGAGTAAAATAAGTAGTAAAATATGTGCTCATCAAATACCCCCAAACTTACATTTTGCTTGTCCTCAAGAAAAAGAAGAAAACATAAGAACAAGTAATAGCATGGAAAACGTTAGTTTCCCCCTATGCGACCCTCAAAGAATCTTAGTCAAGAGTTCATAATAATCAAGAAATTTCGTAAGCACAAAGCAAGTAAATCAACCACATTCGAATTCTTAGCAAAAACCTTTCAATCATCCTTGACGTATAGTGTGTGGATTAACCATGCCAATGCATTTCTAAGCTTCTTAAAATCATCATATGCAAACAAGTGACATCCTCACCGGGCATACACTCATTCACTCATATTTTTGGATAGTGTGTTTCACTCAAGTGATCTCAATCAAACATGCCGCCATATGCTTGCTTGTCAACCTACCTTGCTATTAATATCATGTAATTACTTGAATCTATAGGACTTTAGTTGGGTTGTAATGGGGCTAAGGGTGATAGGCTAGTGAAAGAAAGGATATGGAAACCAAAAATTTTGAGAAAGTACACATTAGCAGTTTTCCAACACCAATATCACACCCACTCAAATTGAAAGCAAACTACATTACCCGTAACATTTGTTGCTTCCCCACTCAACTTCATATGGAAATTAATACTCTGCATCCAAAGACTAGTCCTCTAAAACATACAACTGCATTCTCAAGCTTTACTTTTGATAACATGTACTTGTGCATAACACATTTTCAACATCTCAACATTTTTTTTTTTTACTCAATGAAATTGATACTACCACAATAATGACAGTAGCCTGCATATTTTTAACCCTTTCCTTTTTTTTTTAACATGCTCAAATCTGCAAAGCTACATCACCCCTCAAATTCACATTTCATTGTAATACGCATGCTCCATCCACTTTTTCTATATAAACAAAACCCAAAAAACACAACCTATGTAATACTTTCTCAAAACAATAAGGGATCGATTTTTGTGTATGGGCTCAACTCCAATATCGGAGCATGGTAAAGAGATGTGGCTAACAAATAAATGACTTAGTTAAAGGCTCAATGGGCTACTAAGGATACAATTAGCATATAAGGTAGGCATGAAAGGCTCAAACGATCCAAAAATAGCCTATATCACTTCCAAGTTATTACATGAATTGATGAATGATTCGAGAGGTATAAAGCAAGTTCTAGAGATACATGTAAGAATGAGATCATACACACAAGAACAAATGTGATTGATGCATGATAGTTCAATCATATAAATAGGCTCAAAAGCTCACAAGGATTACATTAAGCCACTATATTCACATATGAAGTGTTAAACCATGCTTTAGTTTCACATCAACAAGGCAACGTGCATTTGGTCTTTTCAAGGATGATCGAACGGGTATAAAGCTAACAAAAAGAATAAAGAGATTCACCTAAAACATGCTTACAACTTTCTCAATAACCATAGTTCGAATTCAATTCAATTTCATCATTGGGTCAGGAAGCTAACAAAAAACTAAATGAAAACAAGATTTAAAAACAAATTTTTTTTTTTGTATTTTTCAAAGTTTTTGATTGTTTTTTTTTCTTTCAGAAATTATAACCAAAACACTAACTAAAAGTAAATAATTAAAAGGGAGGACCCAACCAATTAAAAGCAACATGCTTATTTCAAATTAAATAGTCGGACTAAACAAATTTTCTTCAACCAGGGCTTAAAAATCTCACTCCTACCCCCAAACTTAGATGAGACATTGTCCTCAATGTCTGATAGCAAGCACATAAAAATCACTTGGAAAAGCAATGAATTAAATAACTTAGTCAAAGAACTTCCCTGGATTATGGTTCACATGGCAACCACGGTGTGTTCAAGGTAGTAGCCACCCCTAACTAAAACACTTTAGTCTTCCATTCAACGTTGTATGGCAGCAAACATTTCCCTACACCAAGAGAAAACAGTCAACAAGTAGCAAACGAGTGAAGATAGAAAACAAAACAAACAAAACGAAAAATATGAAATGAAACAAACAGAAAATATAAGAAAAGCATGGGTTGCCTCCCATGGAGCGCTAAATTTATAGTCTTCAGCCAGACTATATAAGGTTTATGCTGAATCTCGAAGGGAGGTCACCGTCTTCATGGTATCAAAATTTGTTTCCACGTACGGCTTCAATCTTTGACCATTAACCTTGAATATGCTTCCCGACTCCAAATTCTGAATTTCCACCGTGCCATATGGATAAATTTGCACCACCATGAAAGGACCATACCATTGAGAATGAAGCTTTCCAGGAAACAACTTTAATCTGGAATTGTACAGCAACACCTTTTGTCCAACATGAAATTCTTTCAGCAGAATGTTCTGATCATGCCACTTCTTAGTTCGTTCTTTATAGATCTTGGCATTTTCATGTGCATCGTTCCGGAATTCCTCCATCTCACTAAGTTGTAACAATCTTTTCTCCCCAGCTACTTCCATGTCAAAATTTAGTGTCTTGATTGCCCAGAAAGCCTTATGTTCTAGCTCAATTGGCAAATGACATGCTTTACCAAAAACGAGCCGATATGGAGACATGCCAATTGGAGTTTTGAAAGCAGTGCGATATGCCCATAAAGCATTGTCTAACTTCTTCGACCAATCTTTTCTCGAAGCACTCACAGTTTTCTCCAGAATCTTCTTGATTTCCCGATTTGAAATTTCCACTTGTCCACTTGTCTGAGGGTGATAAGGTGTAGCAACCTTATGTGTGATTCCATACTTTGCTAAGAGAGCTGCAAATTGCTTGTTACAAAAGTGAGTTCCTCCGTCACTAATAATAGCACGAGGGGTTCCAAAGCGGGTGAATATATTTGCCTTCAAAAATCGGAGAACAACTCGGGCATCATTAGTAGGAACAGCTACAGCTTCCACCTATTTCGACACATAATCAACTGCTACCAATATATACTTGTTCAAGAAAGAAGAGAGGAATGGCCCCATAAAATCAATTCCCCACACACCAAAGAGTTCAACTTCCAGAATATTATTAAGAGGCTCTGATTTCTACGAGAAATATTTCCGGTCCTTTGACAGCGATCACAAGAGGCAACAAAGGCATGTGAATCCTTGAATAAAGAGGGCCAAAAGAACCCAGATTGGAGAACCTTTGCTGCTGTTTTTGAGGTATTGAAATGTCCCCCACACGCAAGAGAGTGGCAATGATTGAGAATGCTGATTTGCTCATCTTCGAGTACACATCGGAGAATCACTTGATCTGGACAATGTTTATACAAGTACGGATCATCCCAGAAATAGTGTTTGACCATGGAGAGAAATTTCTTCTTTTGTTGAAAACTCATATCTTTCGGAATCACACCACTAGCGAAGTAATTTACAAAATCGGCAAACCATGGGACTTTTCCATGTTGGACAGCAAACAAGTGTTCATCTGGAAAAGTTTCATTGAGCGATATAGTTGATTCCACCTCACCATCTTGAATAAGCCTTGACAAATGGTCTGCCACCACATTTTCGGACCCCTTTTTGTCTCGAATCTCAAGATCAAACTCTTGAAAAAGAAGAACCCATCTGATCAGCCTCAGTTTTGCATCTTTTTTAGACATTAAGTACCTCAAGGCCGCATGATCTGTGTATACAATAACCTTCGAACAAATAAGATAGGACCGAAATTTATCAAGTGCAAATACTACAGCAAGCATCTCCTTCTCTATGGTGGAATAATTGAGTTGTGCATCGTTTAAAGTGCGGCTTGTGTAGTAAATAACATGAGGAAGTTTGTCCTTTCGCTGCCCCAAAACAGCTTCTATGGCATAATCGCTTGCATCGCACATCAGTTCAAATGGGAGACTCCAATCGGGTGTTGTCATAATATGGGCTAAAGTGAGCAGATTCTTCAAGATGTTAAAAGCTGATAAGCATTCAGAATCGAACTCAAAAACAACATCTTTCTGAAGAAGATCACTAAAAGGCTTGGCTATTTTCGAGAAATCCTTGATAAATCTGCGATAGAACCCTGCATGACCAAGGAAACTTCGAACTCCTTTCACTGAAGTTGGTGGTAGAAGATTTACAATCAACTTAACCTTCGCTCTATCAACCTCAATACCATTCGCTGAAATTTTATGCCCCAAGACTATGCCTTCTTGCACCATGAAATGGCATTTTTCCCAATTTAACACCAAATTAGTCTCCTGTCATCTTTTCAATACTAGCTCCAAATTGTGAAGGCAATTATCAAACGAAGACCCAAGAACAGAGAAGTCATCCATGAATACTTCTATAAAACGCTCCACCATATCAGAAAATATACTCATCATACACCTTTGAAAAGTAGCCAGTGCATTACATAATCCGAACGGCATCCTTCTATACGCAAAAGTACCAAATGGGCAGGTAAAGGTAGTCTTTTCTTGGTCTTCAGGAGTAATAGCAATCTGATTATATCCCGAGTATCCATCAAGAAAGTAATAAAATGCATGGCCAGCAAGTCGTTCCAGCATCTGATCAATGAACGGAAGTGGAAAATGATCTTTCCGTGTGGAATCATTTATCTTTCAGTAATCTGTACAGACTCCCTACTTCATTTTTTGCCTTGGGGGCAGCAGCTCATTAGTATCACTTTTGATCACCGTCGTACCTTCTTTCTTCGGAACAACGTGAAATGGACTTACCCATCTACTATCAGATATTAGGTAGATCCAAAAGCTTAAGAACTTCTTCACGAACAACTTCCTTCATAAGTGGGTTGAGTCTCATTTGAGCTTTAATGGTAGGCTTGCTATTCTCTTCAAGCAAAATTCTATGCATGCAAACCGTTGGACTGATTCCCTTTATATCAGCTATAGTCCATCCCAACACCATTTTATACTCTTTCAGTACCCTAAGTAATTTTTCCTCTTCAAGTGGACTCAAACTTGCAGCAATTATGACAGGTGGGTCTCGGCAGCCCCTAAATAAGCATACTTCAGATTTTCTGGCAATTGCTTCAACTCTAACTTAGGTGCAACCTCAATAGATGGTTGAATTTTCTTTGGAGCTGGTCCCAAAGCCTTAAAATAATGTCTCCGATGCTGATTGTGTACAGGAGCAGAATATAACATTGCTGAAATAGCAAGTACATCTTCATTTGTTCCACCACTCAATTCAGAATGAACCAAGCATGCTTCCAAAGGATCATCCGAATGTTGCTCTATATATTTCAGATTCACTAGCTCTTCCAACGCCTCAACTCGAAAGCATCTTTCAGAATCACTTGGATATTTCATAGCCTCAACGACCTTGAACACCACTTCCTTGCCTTGAACTCTCAAATTGAGGAGACCTTTTTGGACGTCGATAAGAGTTCCAACGGTAGCCATAAATGGACGGCCCAAAATGATTGGAATTTCTCGATCCTCCTCCATGTCAAGTACCAAGAAATCAACCGGTAGAATGAATTGATCAACTCGAACTAGAACATCTTCAATGATTCCTCTTGGATATGTAACCGAACGATCAGCAAGTTGTAAAGATACCGAAGTGGACTTCATCTCTCCAAGACCAAGCTGTTTAAAGATAGTAAATGGCATTAAATTAACACTAGCTCCTAAATCAAACAAAGCTTTTTCAAAGGAAAATTTGCCAATTGTACAAGGAATAGTAAAACTCCCTGGATCTTTTAACTTTGGGGGTAGCTTTTGTTGCAAAACGGCACTGCACTCTTCAGACAATATCACTTTTTCGTGTTCCACAAACCTCTTCTTGTTAGTGCAGATGTCCTTTAGGAATTTTGTATAACTCGGAATTTGTTTCACTGCATCAAGCAAATGAGTGTTAATATGTACCTTTTTAAATAAATCTAAAATTTCAAAAAAGTTCTTGTCTTTCTTAGCCCTTTGCAAACGCTGAGGATATGGAACAGGTAGTGAATAAATCTTTTCTTGTGCTAACTCCTCATCTTGCAATGTGAGTGAATCATTCTCAGGTTTTTCAGACTTCTTTTCTTTCTTTGCACCCTCCGTTTCTATGGTCTTGCCACTCCTTAATGTAATAGCTTTAATGTGCTCTTGGTTCTTCGGATTCACTTCCGGCTGACTTGGAAATTTCCCAATCTCTTTTTCATTCAACGCACTAGCAATCTGACTAACTTGAACTTCCAGCTTCCCAATTGAAGCTTGCTGATTTTGGAGTGTTGTCTGAGTTGCTTGAATGAAGTTATTTGTGTTTGTAGCAAGTTGAGCTATCAAGTCTTCCACTGGTGTCTTCTTTTCTTGTGGCTGGAAATTCATAGGAGGCGGCCTAGCTGGAGGATTCATAACATTCAGATTGTTATTCCATTGAAGATTTGGATGAAAACGCCAACCAGGATTGTAAGTGTTTGAATATGGGTTATTCCGCTGACGAGAAAAATCATTCACTTGATTTGCTTGCTCTTGCATATACTCCGAAAATGAACCAATGTTTGGGCACTCAGTACTTGCATGTATACTTGCACATATTTCACAAACCACATCAAAAAACTTCACAGATTTAACGGTCATCAAATTATCAAACTTTTTATTTAAGTTAGAAATCTGTGCAGCTATGGTAGACATGGCATCAATCTCGTGCACTCCAGCACGTTTGGGTGGTCCTCTTTCCACTCCTCACTGTTGAGAATGAGTAGCTAATGTCTTGAAAAGTGCTGATGCCTTGACAACTGTCTTTGTCATTTGAGCTCCTCCACTAGCAGCATCAATCATTCTCTTGTTTTCGGGAGTCAGTCTTTGATAAAATGATTGCAGCTGCAACCATTCCGGTAAGCCATGATAAGGACACTTCATCAATAAATCTCGGAACCTCTCCTAACTATCATAAAAAGCTTCATAATCAAATTGGGCAAAAGTCATGATTTCATTCTGTAACTTAGAAGTCTTCGAAGGAGGAAAGAATCTTTGAAGGAATTGATTTGCCAACTCATCCCAAGTTGTTATAGAATTAGTTGGCAAATAGTTAAACCAAGACTTTCCCTTGTCCTTGAGTGAAAACGGAAACAGCCGCAATTTGATAGCATCGTTAGTTGCCCCATGGATCTTCAAAGTTTCACATATCTCGACAAAGTCACTAATATGTAAATTTGGATCTTCAGTAGAAAGACCATAAAATGATGGCAACATCTGGATGAATGACGGCTTCAACTCAAACTAATTAGCCGTAATTTCTGGACGCACAATACAAGACGATGTAGCTCCAATAGTAGGAGTCGAATAATCTATAAGAGCACGATTTTCATTCGGGATTATATGGCACAAGCTCAAGACTTCGAGAACGACGATCGTGCATGAACTTCACAAAAACACCTGAAAACGAAAGAAAACAAAAATTAAAATAAAACAAATACACGTAGCAATTGAAATAAGAAAGAGATAGAATTAAATTTCAATCCCGGGCTGCGGTGCCAAAAACTTGCTGCGAAATTTAAACTAACCGAAATTAGTCCAACTTAGTTCCAAATTTTATGCTCGCAAGCGTATGAATCGTTTGATAGTATAGAAAGCAAGCACTTAATATCGTCCCTTAGAAAATGATTTAATTCTTATCAACTAACTTAAATCCAATTGCAACGAAGTGAAACTAGCAAAGATTGATGAAAGATGGTTTTGAGAATTGAAACTAATAGTAAAAACAAATAAAAACAAGAAAGTTTGATCACAATGCAAAAAAATGACAGCCAAGAAAACAAGTTATAATTCAATCGAGTAAAACACTAGAGCGTTCGACTCACCATAACCAATCCTACTTATTTCCTGCAACGAATTATTAACAAATACTCAATCTCATTGATAGTCAAATTTTCCTAACACATGTAATATCTATGGCATCTAGACTATTACGTATATCCTAATTTGCAACCATCCATGGCATCTGGAATAGTTTAACATCATGAAACTCATTACGATCAGTGGAAATTTATATTAAGACTACACAAATCCTAGAGTATGGCATCTACTACTAGGTAATTCATGGTATCTATTTGCAAGAAGCTATCACTCAAGTTGAAAACATGGCTTCTGCACAACTTGCATCAAATTTACCAAGTAAAAGTCAAAATGGTAGCTAATCACCAAGACTAAAACCAAGCATATAAACACAACAAACGATACTTAATGAAATTGAAAACTTGAAATAATTCACTTTAGAAATTAAGCATTCATAGTCATGGCTACATCGTAGCCCTTGCTAAGGAAAATTAGTTCCGAAACATTACTGGAAATATCATTGAATTCATAATAAAATTAAAAGAAAAACTAAGTTTAGAAAAGCCTGAAATCCCCATGCTCTGCCACTGCTTACTTCTCTTTGTCTTTGCCGCTGCCTAGTCTTCTCTTTCTTTCTTTTTTCAATCATCACCAGGCTACCTCTTTGATTCCTCCAATTAGCCGTTTTCTTTTTCGTAACCGTCGAGACCTTAATGCCTATTTATTGCCTTGTAACTGCAGTCCTAGCCTCCCAATCAGTTTCTTCGACTCTCTAGTTGCTTAGTAATTGAAATTTTAATCTCCCAAATCAATTGACTTCCAATAAATCTGAAAGTGGTTGAATCCCCAAGTCAATTGACACCAATAAGTAATGGACCAATAACCAGAACCCATGCTCCTGCTAAGAACCCACAAATTGAAATCGGAAATGGAAATTTGGGTTTCTGATCGGATCATATTTATATATATTTTTACTTCGAATTCACTCGTCTTTTCTTTGTTAGTTCCTTATATTTTTGAGCTATTTACGTTATTTTTGTGTTTATAGGATTTGTTATGCAAAGAAAATAAAAATAGAATAAATGAAATTTTATGTAATAACTTCGTCAAAATTGTATTCCATTAAAATAAGTTGAAAATAAGTACATAGAGTAATTAACGTCTTTCCTATCTAGCCAAAAACATAAACTGAAAAGTAATTTAATGAAAAACTCATTTTCGACATGTTTGTGTGAAATTTGCATGCAGGATCTCTTTATTAAGAGTTTGCAGTCAGTGGGATTATATACTGAAAGTCTTAAAGAACATCGGGAGGAGAATATAGAGAAAAGGAAGCTGCTTTGCAGCTGGAAATGAAGGAATCCAAACATGGGCAGCGGCATAAAATAAAAAGGCAGGAAGCTGCCTTAGCAGCTTGAAAAATTATAAAGAAAAAAAAGAGCTGCTTTTGGCAGCTAGAGAAAGTGACACGGGAGAGAGGAGCATGTGAAAGGAAAGCAGTGCGCTAGGGAGCATGTGAGAGGACAGCAGTGGGCTGTCTTGGCAGCCCAGAGGAGTGACACGGAAGGAGAAAACGTGAGCTGGAGAGGGGGTCAGCGAGAAAAGGGAATAAGAAGACTGCGAGGAAATAAAAGGGGGGAGTACGGGACAGATTGAAGGAGCTGCTTGGGCAGCGTGAAGAGGGGAGAGAACGGGCAGCTAGAGGGACTGACGGGGAGGTCACAAGCTGCCTTTGGCAGCGTGACTGGCAGAACACGGAGAGAAGCTAGCAGACAGGAGGTGCAGAGGAGAAACCGAGGAGGAGAGCTGCCTTGCGGACTCAGACTGGCGAGCAGCGTGAGCCTCGGGGAGGAGAAAAACAGAAGCAGCAAGCTGTCTTCTCTTTCGGTTAAATCTTTCCGAACTTATATTTTATTTCTGTTTTAATAATGTGTAACTAAATTTATTTTGGCTAGAGGTTAATTCAAAACCATGATTATATTTGTAATATGAATTGATTACATCTAGTTGTGATTCATAAGTTGTGAATTCAATTTACTTATCCGTTCGTATAAAAACTTATTTGTGTATGTTGGTTGAGAGTGCACGCTTAATTTTCATGCATGAATTTGACGCTAGAATATAAGGGAGTTTCACCTAATCGTTATGAACTTATATTCATAAGTAGTGAAGGTTGCTAGTCACAATCACGTTAAGTAAATTCTTGGCATAAGTTTCATGCAAATCATAGTAACGAGTGTCTCGTCAATGCTTATGTTTTTCATAGAACTTAATGATTCTTGCTTGTATCTCTATTATGCAACTCATGTAGGGAACTTGTAGGGAATGTTTTGGGTTGTAGTATGCAATCATCCAACCCAATAACTTGTGGAAAAACTGAGGGTTAATTAGTGCAATTCACGGTTAATTTGGGGCGTTGAGTATTCATAGCTTATCGAAAAGCAACTGGAAATCATTTTGTATGCAAGTATAACATGTGTGGAGAAGAACCCTCTAGCTAGTCTGTCACCTATCCTTTCACCTTAATTTCATGCTCTTGTCAATTCTGTAATTTATTTAAGTTTAATTTACTTTTCGTCAAAACCAAACCCCCCCATTATTAAATTATATTATTTCGTTAGTTCATTGTTGTTAGTCTTTTAATTCAATTTCCGTCCATTTCAGTTCCTAGTGTCTAAATTTGATTGTTTTCATTATTTTGAGTCATTCTAAGTGTGTTTCGAGTTATTAGAGTTTTTAGCCTAGTTTTGTGTCCTTGAGTCTTGTTTAATATTTTTAAATTAATTTAGAATAGATTAGCAATCCCTCCTAATCCCCGGCCTAGAACGATACCCTACTTACATCTTTACTACAATTGTCACAAAGAGGGTTTAATTTGTGTGTCAAGTAATTCTCACACCAGTTTCCATCTCTTGTTGAATTTTATCGATTAAAGCCCCTTGCTTTGCTGCAATTGTATGTGGCGGTTTGCTCCAGAAAATTTGGATTAGACCTTTCTCTCCTCTGTCGGTGTAAATGGAAGGATAAGGCCTTCCTTTGTGCAATTGAATAAATCACGTGCCATGTCTTCCCATTTTGTTGACTTGTCAAACCTCTTTTTTGGACTTGTAAAACAATATGATTCCTACACAAAAATTCAACCAAATAAGCTGCTCTAATTTCTGAAGGAAAGTAAGATTCGGATGAGCCAAAAATGTAATTAAAAATTTCCCAACTTGTGAATATCATTTCAGACCAATTTCAACTTACAAAAAAAATGACAAACACACTTCCACTCAATCCACTTAACTGAACAAAACCACATTCCAACTACTTTACTTGAATTGAACTTAAAAGGATTGAATTCATAATTTTCTCAAAACCATGTAATTTCATTCATTTTGAACAAACATGACACAAGAAAATGTAGCTTTCGGAGTAAAATAAGTAGTAAAATATGTGCTCATCACCCAAGTTTGCCATGTGTAGGTGAAGGTATGCAAGAGCCTGCCATGCATCCAACACCTTCGCCAACTAGCTCCAAGATCTCTCTTAGATGGCCAAACCTTAGTAGCACCGAGCAACTTGTCCATCGTATCGACCTTCGCTCGGCCATGGATATCAAGAGCCATATTGAGAAGGGGATTTCAAAGTGCCCAGTGAAGGACCTTGTGTTGCTTAATGAGGACTTGTCGAAGCTTGTTTCTGCGATTAATGACCTTAACGTTAATTCCTCACTCTTGAGAGTCAAAATTGCCGAACTTATGGCCACCTCAACTGAGTATTCTTCCTTGCATTCTATTTCCTCGAAGAAGTTGAGTCTAGAGGTTAGAGCTCAACAACTTGCGACAATAAACTTATCAATTGCCCAAGTTCGG